ATGGCATATGTAAGGTATACTAAGGTATTCAACAGATTTTTATATTTGTATTTATATTTATATCTATATTTATTTATTTATTTATTTAGGCCCCTATGATCAGTAGTTAGGGTTCATCCAATCATCCCGAAGCCTGAGCCCTGTCCCACCCCTTTATCCCCAAGGCATCAGCCATTTGGAGATCCCAGGCTCAAGGATTTCAGGATTTGGGGTTTATATAGGTGTGTATATAGGCCTTTATATGGGGGGTTTATATGGGGGGGTTTAGGGTTTAGGGTTTATAAAGGGGCTTAGGGTTTAGGGTTTAGGGGTATAGGGTGTGGGGGTTCATTGGTTAGGAGTCTGAGCTAAGTAGAAACAGTCTTTATCAGTTACATAGGGGCTTGTTGTGCTCATTCGCCGCGCCGGATTTTATAATTGAGGGGGGGTATACTTGAGTTCCGGCGGTCGGGTTTTATAATTGAGGAGGGGTTTATAAACGTGAAGTCAACATTATAGGCGTGTGAAAACCAGTAAAGTATCGCATTGGCATTAGTATAGTCTACCCCCCAAACCCTATTCCTTTTATTCAGGCACCTAGTGTGACATTGACAAGTGTAAAAACCCAGCGAAATCCTCGAAACCCTGTAAAATCCAGATGAAGCCCCATGACGCCTTGCAAAACCCCTGAGTAACCCTTACAAGCCCCCAAGTGATGATTCTCAAAGCCCACAAAAATCACACCCCGACTTCTGGGCTCCTGGCCACCCCAGGCGGCTCTGGTCCTTGGCACTCGGAAACCTAAGCCTAGCACAGGCCCGAAGAAGCAGTGCCCTCTAGTATGACAAGTAGGGTCTCCACGATTTGCAGAGCCGTCCTTCCAGGCACTGCCGCCACACAATAATGGTGACCGTGCACTTGCAGAAGCTGCAGCATCTCGGTAATGCAGCAGCTTCACTTGCCGGGATCGCCCTGGGCATGCATCTCCGAAGCTGGTGTAGCACACTTGGCATCGTCACTGCAGCCAGTCGCTGCAAGAAGCAGCGCATCTTGTCCAAGTGGTTGGCAGAAAGGCTTCAATGATTGTTGCCCTTTCATGCCATCTCGCCGTTCAGAGGTTCAGCAGCTAAAGCTGCAGCTGCCTGCTTGACCATACCATACACTGATGGCGTTAGCGAAGGGACAGCAGGACCTTATAGGTTTGGGTTGCCTGAGTATATAGAATAGAATTTTTCTCGGGCTTTATGGAGGGTTTCATAGGGTTTAAGACAAGGGCCTCAATAATTAGAATGAGATTTTGGTGCACATTGTCGTATGCTCATAAACCTATATATGGGCTCTAATCTGAGGTATTGGTATTAAAACTTACTACTTAGTCAGGCCCCCGAGGTTGCGTCGGCTTTTGCGCGGGTTCCGGACGCGCGATGGGCAAGCTCGGAAAGGTGAACTTGTAAACGTGTACATCCAATGAAGGCACGTATCAATCTACCAACAATTACGAAGGGACAGACCCGACACGAAGACCCTCGTATATTACAACTCGGTACGCGTCGTCGCCTTATCAAGGGGCGGGCTACAGAAATGCAGCAGACCTACCCTGAACAACCCTACAGCTCAGCCCCTCAAGGACCCCAAGACACAGACCTAGATGCTCAAGAAACTTCAGCTTCAAAATCAGTCCCCATGCAGCCGGCATGTCGCTACATGACCATATGCCGTCCACATGCCAGAGAATGCCCACAACATCGAAAGGAAGCGTCGCTACATTGCTGCCAACGCCACAAGAACCCCCCCCCGCCCCCACACGCCACACAAGGATCCTGCACCAGGATTGATGTAGGGGTCTAAATAATTACCGATACTGTTTTGGAGGTTCCTTACAATAATTATGGTACAGTGGACCCCCAAACCCTATTCTAATTATTGAGGCCCCTAGATCATGAACAGGGCCCCTGCACAGAGCCGGCCCGACGATGCGTGAAGCGGAGGGGCCCACGGGGGCGGCCGCGGCGGCTGGAGCAGGAGCGTCGCCTCCAAAAGTAAGGTTAGAGTCCGGACAGAGGGCCTTTATGGCTTTCGAGTTTGGGGTCTTGGGGTTTGGAGAAGCAGGTTTTTAGAGCTCGGGAAGGATTTTTGGTTGCTTTTTTGCTTTTGTGGCTCGCCATACACCGACACACCTCATGTTGCCGGCCTTCCCTTGCCAGACCCGTAAGTCAGGATCTAGGCGCCTGACCTGTTGTAGCACACACTGAGGATCTACACCAGTGCGTGTGCTACTACCCATTGCCAAATTGTTGTACGCTCTACGGTAGTGGTGTATCACTACTGTATGAAGATGCATCGTGCTATACACCGCTACATCAGGATGCCAACATCCAAGTTGAAACTATTTGTAATGCCATCTGATCTGCTGCGATCGGCTCGACTCTACCTTCGCATGCACTTCTGCCCACTAGCATGCACAACCTTGCACTGCACGCAGAGCTTTGCACTATTTGGTACTCCATACTCTTCTCCTGGGTATCTATCTCGAAAACACTGCTTGCATGCTCCTCTTTCCTACTACTATTTCGTAGAAGGGCAAAGCCGTCCATATTTGCGCTTTGAAATACTAAAGGTATAAAACCTAGCACCAGTTCTACAATTCTGCAACCTGCTTGCGCTTTGTTGCTGTGCTTTTGCATTCGGTGCTAAATATGCGGCTTGGGTGTAGCGCTCTATGGTTTTGGGTTCGAGTGAAAAAACAACAAGGTTCCTCAACATATATAGCACCCCTTTGTTTGGTTCGCCTGCTGAATTTGGGACATTCGTTGCCGGTCCTATTTTCCATCACTTGCAGAGATCTCATGTGAAACATGTCCATCAGGCAGGAGGGTCGGGATGCTCAACGCGCTGCTCTACTGATGCACTGCCAACCTGTCTCCAGCGAATGCGGGCATACTTCTCCCAGCTCGAGCATCTTGACCTGAACCGCTCCAGGTACTCATGCGGGTTCGGCATGTCGCCTTTGTGTGCGAGCCACGCGCCCACGGCTTTCTCGAACAGTGCCCTCATGTACACAGGTGCTGTTAGAAAGATCTTGCCATCCAACTCCCCGAAAGTGAGTGGAGAATAATCACCGGTAGCCCTCAAGACATGCACCTTTCCGTACCAACTCTCCGAATGTGGAGATAAACGGCATGTCCGCACCGCTTCACTCCTCAGTTCGTTGTGCACGTGAATCTCCAGCGGCAAGTGTGTGGAAGGCTGTAGAGTATTCTGGAACCGCCGCTTTCGCTGCTGCATAGCAGCATCCTCGAGCGCTGGAATGAACATCAACCGCCCTTTGTCAAACTCATACTCTAAATGTCGCATAAGAACCAGAATGTTTTGAGGGTCGTCCACACCAAAGTCAAGCACTGCGGCTTGATTGCACTTCTCCTTGTTGCAGATATGCGCGGCGCAGGCGTTCCACGCGTAGTTTTTTGCAGCATCGGCATGCAAGTGCCGAAGAATCAAGCACTGCTCGATTCCGCCATGATGTGCAACACACGCTCCTCGCACATCCGAAGCAACTGTTGCACTGCGAAAACTCCTTGCTGGAATTCCAAACACGGCATCCCGAAGGGGCTGCAGATCTACCGCGGTCTGCTGGGCATATTTCGCGACCTCTGCTGCCACATTCGCTGTCACATCTTCCTCGAATTTCTTGAAGACATCTTCCAAGTCCGTAGTGCTGCTTCTTGCCTGAAGGAGGTTCTGATATTTCGCCTATTGCAAAAGAGTTTGAAAATGTCACAAACCGCAAAAACACCCGAACCACCAAACTAACTAAGCAATAAAACCTAGCAAGGACCAAACCTCCTAGCGTGAAATACTTAAGGGAATAAGTAGTGGGGATTAGCGGGAAGTTAACCAAAACTAACACAGGGAAAAATGAATGTCTTCGAATGAGTTGCTTGTTCTGGTGCTTGTTGCCTTTCATAGTGCACGAACAGTGGCTTGTCTGGCGTTCCACCTGTGATTTCATCCACTGATGTTGCCATGCCCAGATGTGCCTGGCTTGCACTCCAATCGCCATGGGAAGGGAATAATCGGAGGTCGCCAACATCCAGTCCATTCAACACTCGTTTTGCCTCCTCCCGCACAGCCTTCAAAAGATTGTATACGTTCGCTGGCATCTGCACTTGGTCTGACCTTACCATGACGAGATTGCCTTCATGCACCTTCGCCCACCAGACCTTGCACGAATGACCTTTTGGAGATCTGCTTCGGGCAGGTGCTTCTGCCATGGCACGACGAATTGCTAAATTTAAACACGGGTCAACTTGGGTTGCATCAGGGGCATCATGTTGATTCTGTGGGAGCATGTGACATCGGAGTGCGGGTCTTCTCTGCCAAATGCAGACACCGAGGTACGAGCAGACAAAGCCTCAACATGCAAAGGCTGATAGTTTTGTTGCCCTTGAACCCTAAACCCTAGCAAAATCTATGAGAGAACCCTTGCCCACTTTGGGATGATAATACCACCTTAGGGAATATGGATGGGGTAATTGGTTATTCCTATACTGGGTCTTGGTAATGGGGTAGTAGTGGTGATATATTGGGTGGGATGAAGTAGGGAGTATAGGAATAATCCTCTTATATGGATGAGGTAATCGGTTACTTCCTATACTGGTAT